AGCATGATGGCTCTTGCCATCCAAGGCACAGCTAATAGAGGGTAGAGAGCACTTTCATTTGGGGACATTGGCTCCCAGCAACCATCCTCTGTGGGCATTGCTATATGAGCTCCAGTGTGTGTTAATTTTAATAATGGTATTAACAAATCTAAGAATAACATCAGGTAGTGAAATTATGGATGGCTTTTATTCTTTATACTTTTCTGTTTTTATAATTAAATTGTTTCTATATTATTAAATTGTGTTAATATACAAATTGATAAGTAACAAGGATTTATTTTGAAACACAACTTAACACAAAGAAAAATCATGGTATAGCTATGTACATGTGACTATATAATATGATGCTAAGTGAAATGAAGTCCAACATATGGAAATAAGAAGAGGTTTTTCTTTGTTGTTGTTGTTTTAATGTACTATGTGATTTCTTTTTTCTTTTGTGATTTCCCCCCTATGGTTTATCCCCTGTTGTCACTGAATTAAATTTTGGTACCCTGGGTATTGTATATACATTTATCTGAATTAGGGAAAGGAAGGGGGACAATAAAAAGGTGACACAAAGGACAAATGTTGAACCAATGCAACAGTGATACTCACACGACAATATTTTGGAAATGAACTTCATAATTTGGGGGCTTGAGGGGAGGGAAAGTGGGAGAGAAATGACAGAGGTGGTAACAAGTTCAACAAGAAATATTCTCACTACCTTATGTATGCAACTGTAACCCCTCTGTACATCACCTTCACAATAAAATTATTTAAGAATCATGGTAAAAGCCAGGCGTCTGTGAGTCACGCCTATAATCCTAGCTACTCAGGAAGCTGAGATCTGAGGATCACGGTTCAAAGCCAGCCTGGACAGGAAAGTCTGTGAAACTCTTATCTCCAATAAACCACCAGAAAAGTGGAAGTGGTGCGTGTCAAGTGGTAGAGTGCTAGCCTTGAGCTGAAGAGCTGAGGGACAGCACTCAGGCCCAGAATTTAAGCCCCACAACAAAAAGAAAGAATCATGGTAAAATACTAGTTTAGACATTTGTGCTGTAGATCTTGATTTCAGGGGGCCCTTAAGATAAATGACTGAGCAAGAACCGAAATGCGTGGCAAAAACTGAAGATGGACAAGCCTTTATTTTGAAGATGAGTCAAAGGTCAAAATTTGAGTCTCTTGGAACTGCCAAGCACTACCAAGGCCCTAACCTGAGTAACTGGGTTCATTTCTGGAAGCAGAGAATCTTAGAAGAATCTAAGATATTATAGAACCAATCCTATTCTTTTCTTACCACAATAAGGCATTGAGGCCCAGAAAGATGAAGACCCAGAATTCTGTACCTTTTCCAAGGCTTTTTCTCTGCCTGTGTCACCTTCTACCTGGCCCTATGCTGTCCACCTAATATCCTTTCATCCTATATGCTAGTGAGTTACAGCTTCTATACTCACAAAAGACGCAAGATGGGGCTGGAAAGGTGGCTCAGTGGTAGACCACTTGCCTTACATGCATGAGTCCCTGGGTTCGATTCCTCAGCACCACATAAGCAAAAAGAAAAAAGCCAGAAGTGGCACTGTGGCTCAAGTGGTGGAGCACTAGCCTTGAGCTGAAGAGCTGAGGGACAGCGCCCAGGCCCAGAGTTCAGGCCCCATAACCGGAACTAAAAAAAAATACAAAAAAAACAAAAGACGCAAGATATGCCTACAGCATTCATTCAACAAATGACTGAGCACCTACTATGTATTAGGCACTTATCTAGGCCCCCAACGTACATCAATGCCCCCCCCCAAATCTCTGCCCTACTGCAAGGTAAATTCGCTGTGTTTATTCACTCAGTAAATATTTATAACCTCTTGTATCAGGCATAAGCACTTTATGATCAATGTGGTTGTTTACCAGTTTGGCTTCCTCTCTTCCCTCTATTATGTCTTGTGGATGTAGTGCATGTTCGCAGAATGAATGATCAAGAAGATGGAGTTTGGGGTAAGGGTGGGGTATGTTCACTGGTCTAACATGTGTGAAGACCTGGGGTCCATTCCAAGCATTTTTTTTAAAAGATAGGAGATATGAATGAGAAAGACAAGCAAGAGTGGAAGGCCCCGAGTTCAAACCCCAGTACTGTCATCAATAAAAGATCACACTGCAATTTCAATGCTAAAGATGGCTCTGAAACCTGATCCTGTGTTAGCTGGAGGACCACTTCCTGGCCTGCACTGCCTACAGCTCAAATCTTTGTCACAGGGAAGAAGATCAAGGGCTAGGTCCCTGGGAAGATCTCCATCCTATCAGGGTCTCCTTTCTGAAGACAACTGCTAGCTTTAGACATCCTTGCTCCATAGTTTGGGGGAAAGGAAGAGTAGGCACCCTCTCACCATCACTCTGTGTAAGGACTAGTCATGTAGAAGTACATTTTATTTTTGTGTTAAAAATAATGCCACCACATATGAGCCTTCAGGAGGCCGAGATCTGAGGATATGTTTGAAGCCAGTTCCAGCAGGAAAGCCCGAGAGACTCTTATTAACCACCAAATTAACCAATTAAACACCAAAAAGTGGAAGTGGAGCTGTGACTTAAGTGGTAGAGCACCAGCCTTGAGCAAAAAAGCTAAGGGATGGAAGAGGAGCTGTGGTTCAAGTGCCACAGTGGTAGCCTTCAGTACACAAGGTCAGGGACAACACCCAGGCGCTGAGTTCAAGCTCCACGATTCTCTCATTCTCTTTCTTTCATTCATTCATTTTCTCTCTCTCCCTCTCTTCTTCCCTCTCTTCCACCCTTTCTCCCTCCCCCCCCCCCCCCCCCCCCCCCCCCCCTTTCAAAGGAATTGCCCCCCCCCCCCCCCCCCCCCCCCCCCCCCCCCCCCGCCTCTATCTCTGTTAAGAGAGATTGCCCAGACCCTGAGTTCAAGCCCCAGGACTGGCACCAAAACCAAACGAAAACGAGAACAAAAAGAAAAAAAACGTAAGCAAAGATAACGCCACTACTGAAACAGCTAGACATTAAGTGTCTGCTGTTCTCGTGCTCTGTCCCTTTAGCCAGAGGCAGTTTGGGCATTTGGCAGTCAGTGGACATTGAGAGCCCAGCAATCTGCAGCTGCATCGCAGCGCCCCCTGCCGTCCATGAACCGTCCTGGCGCCACCGCTCTGCAGCTGGGAGGTGCGGGGAAGAGCGGGGGGGGGGGCGGGGGGGGCGCTGCTGCCAAACAGCATCCTGTTCTGGAGGTGCTGGGACATGGTGACTCATCGCGCCGGCTGTGCCCGCCCCGGCCGCCCCCGCTGACTCGCTGGCTCTGTACGCACCTGGTGACGCTCCAAAACGCACAGAGCTGTTCACACGAAAAGCAACCCAAGGGCATTGACTCCCCCCCCCACCTCAGCACAGCTGCACTTGATCCACCAGTGCTCTCACCCTGTTTGCCCCAGACCATCATGCCAGCTTCCGTTGCTGGGAGCCCCACTCACCTCCGCTGTCACATCAATCAAAATAGGTTCCATTTACTATACTGCCTAATACAAGGGAAATGGGGTGAGAGAAAGGTGCGGTGAGTGCCAGGGTCACGCAGCTAAGGAGCAGGAGAGGGATTAGAACACCCAGTTATATGTAACTCCAAACCTCGAGGCTCCCTTTCCACCTATTGAGCTGTATTGTTCACCACTTACACATAGGAAGGTTAGATTAGACAACATAATACAGGATTTTGAAAATTAAGCACTATAATAAACTTGAGATACCTGTAAGCAGTGCCCATCTATGTCAGCCGAATGGAACATAGGTGAGAGAACTGAGCTGTTTGGTTACATAGCATCTGAACATGCCCAAGAAGCCAACCTCGGTTCCTGCTTGGGAAATGTCTGCAGGGTTCTAACTAGACTTCAAAGCTGGTTCATGCTACTGAACGCCTTTCTGGACTTACTGCTTGGGTGAGTGGGATTGGAGAGTCTCTAGGGCCGTGAGTCCTACCTTCTTAGTACTTGCCACCATTGGTACCACTGAATAGACATACCACTGTATGACGAAGTAGATCTATAGTGACATAATGAAGTTAAATATGGATGGCACTCTCTAGGCCTCTACTCACCACCATGACAAAAATGCCAAAGAACAGGGGAGTGTTACGTAGTCAGTGGACTCACAGGCAACCAGAGCTACCTTAGAACTCAAAATTGCAGGTTTTTTCTTTTCTTTTTTTTTTCTGTCAGTCGTGGGGACTGAACTCTGGGCCTGGGCACTGTCCCTCAGCTCTTCAACTCAAGGCTAATGCTCTACCACTTGAGCCACAGTGCCACTTAAGCTTTTTCTGCTTATGTGGTGCTAAGAAATTGAACCCAGGGCCTCATGCATGCAAGGCAAGCACTTTACCACTGAGCCACCTTCCCAGCCTCTCACAACTGAGTTTTGATGTTCCCTGACGTGTTCCTTGTCCACATTTTTTGTTTGTGTGGTTATTTCTGAGCGGGGAAAAAGAGACATTGTCCTTACTTTGGGACACACAGCAGTAGACTAAATGTACAGAGTCAGTGTTCATAATTTAGGAGCCTAAAGTTCAGTCTTTTGCAAATGCATGTGTGTGTGTGTGGGGGGGGTTATGTGAATTCTTTAACCTGAACATCTCTGATACAAGCCCTGATAATTTTTGTGAAGGAGAAAATTGTTACATAGAGAAAGATGAAAAATGTGAGCTGTCTTTAAACAAATCTATAAATTTGTTGCCATTCCAATCACATTTTCATAAGAATATTTAATTGAAAATGACAAACTCATTCTAAAAGCCCCCTGAAAGACAATATGCATTTGAAGATGTAAAACAATTTTGGAGGAAGAAAGACAATGAAAAATAGGGTGTGGTTCTGACACAGAAGACAAGAGTAGAAGAGAACAGAGAGTCATTTAACCACCTTACATAAAGATGATCAATAAACAATAAAAGTGGCATTTACAGGCAGTGGTGAAAGAAGGGACTTGAGCAATAAGTTGTTCTGAAACAACTGATTTTCTATTTGGAAAAAAGTGACATTAGTAAAACTGACAGTTGTCTTCGTCTTTCTCTTCTCCTTGAGCAGACAGTGCCCCACTCCCAGCAGACTCCTATCCACCATCTTTTTGAGACCAAACACCATGCCTTCAATTAAGTTACAGAGTTCTGATGGAGAAATATTTGAAGTTGATGTACAAATTGCCAAACAATCTGTGTCCATCAAGACCATGTTGGAAGATTTGGAAATGATAAAGGAAATGATGACCCAGTTCCTCTATCAAATGTTAATGCAGCAATATTAAAAAAAGGTCATTCAGTGGTGCACCCACCACAAGGATGATCCTCCTCCTCCTGAGGATGATGAGAACAAAGAAAAGCGTACAGATGATATACCTGTTTAGGACCAAGAATTCCAGAAAGTTGACAAAGGAACACTTTTCGAACTTATTCTGGCTGCAAACTACTTACACATCAAAGGTTTGCTTGATGTCATATACAAGACTTTTGCCAATATGATTAAGGGGAAAACCCCTGAGAAGATTCACAAAGCTTTCAATATCAAAAATGACTTTACTGAAGAGGAGGAAGCCCAGGTACGAAAAGAGAACCAGCGGTGTGAAGAGAAGTGAAATGTGCCTGACACTGTAACACTGTAAGGTTTGTTCCAAATACTAGTTGCACTGCTCTGTTTATAATTGTTTATATTAGACAAACAGTAGACAAATGCAACAGTACATCAATTGTATTAGCATAATATTGTCCTCATTACAAGTGTAGTTTTAATACACACCCCAAATGTATGGCTGAGTTTCTTCTAGTCTGAGTGAAAGCTTCTCTTTTCTTTACTCTGAATACAGCAATTGTGGGTTCTCTGTGGAAGTAGCATTTTAGGATCTCTCTCTTTCTGTAAGAGCAATTTCTGCATAGTTTATTATCCAGTTAACTTTAGTTAAGCTTGCAGAAGTTGGCATTTTAAACAAGTTGCAACAAGGCTTCTGATAGAATTAACAAAATATCTTTATTTACAAAGTGAAAACTGGAAAAAGGCTACTTGAAATTAGTGTTCTTAGTGGTGTTTTTACAGTCTAGCCAGGACCACTGGTATGTAGGAAGCAGGACTCTTAGTTGGAGCTGAGGACTCTTTTTCACCTAAGTTTTAATCTTCTCAACTTTGAATACTTTGCCTAGAGATTCAGTTACTACTGAATTTATGTGGGTTTTTTTGGGGAGGGGAATGTAACTAGGCAACTGGTTAGCTTTTTGATTAAAAACACTTAATTCAAAAAAATGGACAGATCTCTAGTAAAGACACAAATTACCAGTATCACCATTGAAATATATATTAATACAGATGCTTCAGACATCAAATGAATAATGCATGGCTATTATTACACTAACACAAACTCCCTAAGCCTACCTAAGAAGAAATAGATTGGAATAATTTTCTAGCTATTGAGAAAATAGACTTACAATTTTAAAACTTAAAAAATAAATGTCCAAGTCTATATGGTTTCACTGGTAATTCTACCAAGTTTTTAAAGAATTCTATCCTAATTCTTCAAAAAGTACTCCACCCTAGTAGCAAACCAAACAAGAGAAATCCCATGATTATAGTAACTGTTGCATAAAGGCATATGACAAAAATCCAACTCTCATGATAATTTTTTAAAAGTATCCAAGAGATAGGAAATGAAAGGAATTTCAACTTTAAATATAGACTTAGCCAGACCTTATACCTGACCACGAATATTCTTTCATAGAAGGCACAGTAGTGTAGGCCTGCAATCTCAGAACTCAGGAGACAGAGGCAAGAGGATCAAAAGTTTGAGGCTAGCGGGCTTTCCAGTGAGAACCCATCTAAAATAAAAGTCATAAAAGTAGAATTGATGAATTGGATTTTGTCAAGGTTAGAAACTTTTGCTCTGCTATACATGCTGGGTACATCTATAATCCTAGTTTTTCAGGCGACAGAGGTCAGGAAGATTGCAGGTTGAGGCCCCGCCTAAGCAAAAAAGTGCAAGACTATTTGAAAAACAACTAGGCATATGACTCAAGTAGTAGAGCTCTTGCCTACCAAGCACAAGGCTCTGAATTCAAACCTCTGTATAGCAAAAAAGCTTTTGCTTTGTGGAAGATCCGGTTAAAAGGATGAAAAACAACATGACTAGGAGGAAATATTTGTAAACGAAGTGTCTGACAAAAGACTAGAATCTACAATGTATAAACAATTTTAAAAACTCTTGGTAAAAAATGACAGCAACCCAACTAGAAAATGGCTTAAAGACTAAATGGATATACAGTGAAGAGGCTACATAGGTGGCACATGAATTCATAAGAGATGTTCCACATCAATAATTATTAGGAAAATAACAATTTGGAAACACTAATACTAATTAAAGCTCCTTTTTTGTTAGTATCACAGTTTGAACTTAGTACTCCCTGAGCTGGTGCAACTTGTCTTCTCATGGCTGGTGCTCTACCACTTGAGCCACATCTCCAGGCTAGTTTTTGCTGGTTATTTCTGCAGATAGATCCTCATGGACTTTTCTATCCAGGCTAGCTTTGAGCTGTGATCTTCTAGAGCAGCTAGGATTACAGGCATGGTTTACCTGCACTCAGTTTTAAATGGCTTTTTTTTTGGCAACATCCAATGTTAAGACTGCTGATCCTTCATGCATTATTGGTGGGAATGGAAAATGACCCAAAAATCATATTCTTGAACATTTATCCTGAGGAAATGAAAACATGTCCACATAAAACCTGATAGGTGAATGTCCATAGCAGATTCATTGGTAATAGCTCAAACAAGAGAAAAATACAGATGTCCTTCAGTGAGTGAACATATAACTATTTGTGATATATCCAGGACATGGAAACAGAGTGTTAAACAAAGGAACAAATACACACATAGAATAGATCACCATGCTACCTAGATAGATTTCCAGATAATTATGCTAACTGAAAGCAGTCCCTAAGGGCTGTACAAACTGTGACTGTTTACTGTCTAACTTTGTTGAAGACTAGGTCAGTGGTTGATCCAGTTCAGCAGGAAGTCATGTGGGAGGAGAGTGGGTGTGGCTATGTAGGGCAACCTGAAGGTCTTGATTGTGATGACACTGCTCTGCATATTGATCATATGTATCAGTGTCAGCATCCCACTTTGTACTATCCAAGGGTTTCATAAGAAGTTACCATTGAGAAAAATGGTGAAAGGTACATGGGATCTCTCTGATTTCTTTCTTTTTTTCTTTTCTTTTTGTGGATGTGTGTCTCAGTACTTGGGCTTAAACTCAAGGCCTCCTGCTCTTGATTGGCTTTTTCACTCAGAACTGCCACTCTACCACTTGAGCCACACCTTCAGTTTCTCTATTATTGCTGATATAGTATGTAGCTCTACCATTATCACAAAATGAAAAATTTACTTATGAAAATTACATTAGAACCACATGTCCCAACAAGGAACAACAGTATTATTACGTAACCATGTAAAACTGCGCTATATACATAAGAATGATTTAGAAAAGGGTATACACTCTACACTCAGAATTGTGGTTACCTCTGTGAGCTGAAGGTAGCAAGAAGATGATTTTAATGATAGCTATATTGTGTGTGTGTGTGTGTGTGTGTGTGTGTGTGTGTGTGTGTGTGTGTGTGTGTGTGTGTGTGTGTGTGTGTGTGTGTGTGTGCTGGTCCTGGGTCTAGAACTCAGGTTCTGGCCCCTGTTGCTGAGCTTTTATTCTCATGGCCAGCACTCTATGACTTTGAGCTGCAGCTCCACTTTTGTTTTTTGGTATTTAATTGGGGGTAAGAGTCTTATGGATTTTCCTGTCCAGGATGTCTTAGAACTGTGATCCTTGGAACTCAGTCCCTTGAGCTGCTAGGATTACAGGTGTAAGACAGTGGTACCTGACCCAATTTTTTTTTAACAGTGAAAATATTCATGGGTGAGGATGTACCTGAGTGGTAAAGCATTTGTCTAGCATGCACAAGTCCTGGATTCCATCCCCAGCATTGGAACCACCACAACAAAAGCATTATGTATTACATGTGCCTTAAAAACATTGTCCAGATCACAACTCCACTGTTCTGGGAATTTAAATCTTTTTTTTTTTTTTTACTGGACTTGGTTTAGCCGTAATTCACAAACATTGTGGCTATTGGAGGCAGCTCATACTCCATGTCCTTAAGTTGGAAGACAATGGCTCCTGAGCTTGGAAATTTGGAAAGAAGCCTCACTAGCACCAAGGCTACCTTGCAGTGAAAAAGTATCACTTGGAAGTGTGATTCCCCACTACTGCTAACCACACATTAAATAATATACAAACATAAATGAGTGCTAACCAATGTAGCAACAGTTCCCCTAAGGCTTGAGCTATAAACTTTCATGTAAGTTTCAGTCCTGGAGGAGCAAGGACACTCCCTATTCATACCTGAGAATATGTCTGCAAGCATGAATAAAAGCTGGACCTCTACAACTCATTGTATCAGACTTATTCTAGGGTGGCCTCAGAGAATGCATTCTTTCAATCAATCCTTCATTCCCTATTTATTGAGCACCTATTGGGTGCCAGTACTGACAATAACAGTGATCCTGCCCCCCGAAGCTCCCATTCTAGCCAAAGAGCAGAGAGTAAGATCAATAAAGAAATCACCCAGGAGGAAACCAAGTAAGAGGAGAGCAGGGATTGGAACTTTGGAAATGTTGGCCAGAGAAGGCCTTGCATTGAGGGCCATGTTTTGGTGAATGTTGGAAGGAAGTGGAAAAGCCAGCCACATAGATTATCTGGTTATCTGGTCAATTTCCATTTGCCCCATCCAGTTCTTCTCCCCCTTCTCCACCCAATTCATGCCCTGGTAAACTGACCTTTGATGGCTGCATTGACAGGTTCTTTTGTCCTTTGTCTGGGAGTCACATTTGACCAATGGCAGGCACCTGCAAAGAGATGATAAGGAAAAGAAAGTGCAATTAAAGTTTCTTTCTCAGCTGTCTATGAACAGTCTTCATGGCTTGGTTTCATCCCAATACAAAGACCATAGCTCCTGTGGGGTGAAGCTCTCCACTCAGCAGCCCTTTCCAATTGTCAGGACTACTCCTACCCAGGACCCTGCCTGACACATGGAGTGGACGAGGGATTCCAGGCAGAATGCAAGCACAATACACAGGGCACACCTGAAGGATGGTCAGGAGGCCAAGGTGACTGGCATACAGATAATGGTAGGGGTATCTGTAAAAGAAGGTGTTAAGAAGGTGAAGGAATGGGGCTGGGAAGGTGGCTCAGTGGTAGAGTGCTTGCCTCACATGCATGAGGCCCTGGGTTTGATTCCTCTGCACCACAAAAGCAGAAAAAGCCAGAAGTGGCACTGCAGGACCACAGCCAGGCCCAGAGTTCAGGCCCCACAACCAACAACAACAGAAAAGGTGAAGGAAGCTACATAATGCATGACCTTGAAGGGTACCACAGGGACTTTGATTTTTGGCCGGGTGCAATGGCTCATGCCTGTAATGGCCACTACTCAGTAAAATAGATATCACTTGTAATTCCTGCTATTTGGGAAACAGAGATCCAGAAGATTATAGTTTGAGACCAGCTCTGGGCAAAACTGAGGCCTTATCTTTACAAATAAACTGAGTATGGTTGTGTGCACCTGTGATCCCAGCTACACAGGAAACATATCATGGTTTGAGGACAGCCAGTGGCAAAAACAAACACAAACAATTCATAAGACCCTGTCTGAAAAACTATTAAAGCAAAAAAGGGTTGAAGGTGTGGTTCAAGTGACAGAGTGCTTGCCTAGCACATGTGAGGCTCTGAATTCAAATCCCAGTATGGGGAGAGACAGAGAGACAGTGAGTACAGAGAAAGTATATTTTATTATTTATAGCTAGTGTATATATGCTAGCTATCACAATTATAGAAAAATTCTTAGTATAAAATGAATTAATCAAGTCAAAAATATTCTATTTCTGAAAATTTTCCTCTTTGAAAACGTTCACATATACTTCTTTCCTAGCCATTACTGTAAGATAAAGTAGTAGAAACTGGGATCTATTTTACATAGATGACTGTAGAGATAATATCTATTGGTCTGTTAAAAACTGTTAATTATGCCATAATGCTATTGTGGTTCC